CTACCGCTATTGTGCTTGCCTTTCTATGCTTTTAATGCTCTGGGGGAAGCTAGCCATCATGAAGAAGTCTGAGTATCCTGAGATTTCCACATGGTGAGGGACACCAAACTGACCACATGGAAAGGCTACATGGAAAGATGTATCAGCATTCCAGCTATCCCAGGGCAGACACCAGACATGTGAGTGAGATGCCCTCTTAGACATTTCAGCTCCAGCAGATGTGATATGGAGAATAAGGTACACAGCCAGCACCCAGAATAGAGACCTCAGACATAGGACTCAAATTGAGCCATCTCAGACATCTCTATTCATTCAAAACACCTGGCTAAGACCCCAGTCACTATGGAACAAAAACTATTTATCGCTGGTGGTCCCTGCCCCAATTTCTGACCCATAAAATTTCAAGCATAATGTTGCCTGATGCTACTAAGTTTGAGGTGGGTTGTTATGCAATGATAGATCACTGGAACAGAAGATTCCGTGGGGGTAGATGCTGAGCCAAGCTCTGAAAGATCGGAATAAGTGCAGGAGAAGAGGGATTCTGGGAAAGAAAAACATGAGCCAAGATAGTAAATGAAGACCTGGACCTTTTGTGTGTCTGTGAGGTGACTATACAAATAAGGTAAAAAGATTATTTTGGGCTAAATGTGACAAATTGTTTTTCACTCTTTACTGGTTAGACAGAAAAAAAAAAGACTTGGTTAGAATAAAGCACATTAAAATGAAGCTATGATTGTTGTTCATCATAGTGAGAAAAATATATGATTTGTAGATATTTCACTCTGAAGAATCTAAGATCACAATTCCTAAGATGTACTCAGGGCCTTGGATGAGGCCACATTTACAAAGGAAAAGAAGGAGAGACAAGAGAAATAATGATCTCCTAGATGTTTATCCAAAATATGCCTGGTAAGTACTAAATGGGAGACTCTATGGGGGGAAATATCTTTTGTTTGTTTTAAGTCCCCTAATAAATTCTGAACTCACGTATAACCCTTATCAGCAGTTAATAGTGAGACTACTCTCTGGAAATAAACTTTACCTAGAAGCTCTATAAGATTTATCAAGTTTATTTATAGAAATATCAAAACTTAACTAATAAGAAGCATCAAATTGTGAAAGACATTGAAATCATGGAACAGGTGTTTAGGTGCAATTTTGGAAGCAATTGAGAACTTTTAGTTTGTTAAAGGGGTTTTAAATATATATTACAAACATAATTCTCATGTACCTTTGGGGAGAATAAGAGGGAAAAAGAGATGGATAAGTTACTGCAATGTTTAACTGAGTAGAAAGATGCATTGGTGAAGTTAGCGCCAGAACAAGACCAAGAGCTAGGATAAAATGACAATGATAATGGGACAGAACTGCCAATTCACTGCGTTTCCTCCCTTTCATTTCTCAACCTTGAAAATTGCTTTTGAAACCATAAGTGGAATGAGGTGGTGATTTGAAGGAAAGTGTATGATAACTGCATGCTCCAACTGTGAATATAACACAAAAAATTCTGGAGCACAAACTTTACATATTGACTTTTGTTGTCAACATCTTATATGATAGCTTATCTCATAATGCTGGCATTTTGAACTATAATAAATAAAAACTTTCTGAAACAAAAAGACTGTATTTTTATTCTCAGTGATACATAACTTCAGGTATCTTTAGAGGAAAGGAGAACATACTGGAGTTCAATAATAAAATGTTTATTATAGTACTGAATGTGAAAACGCCTCAGCAGTAGTTTTTAAAAATGCATGATGAGAATACATGGCCCGTCAATGCAGTGATAACAAACAAACAAACAAACAAATAAATAAATAAATAAATAAAGCAAGCCCAGAAGCAGAAAAGCCCAAGCAGATTCTGCAGTCAAGATATAACTCAATAAAAGCGGGAAGATTAGTGAAACTCTAGCTCACATATATGTATATTTCCACCTCTGAAATCTTCATGCCTTTTCCTTAATCAAATTAGACACCTAGATACTAATGCTAAAAAAAAACCTCCTTTATATTTCTTTGCTTTGTTAATTCTTTATTGTGATAGTAGATTTTGTGTATAAATGGTAGATTTCGAGCTGTTAGTCTAGCTAGTTTTTCACATCAAGAAATCTAGAGCTTCTGAAATCTATTTACTAGTTTTTTCTTAATGTGAAAATATTACTATCTGTGGAAATGCACAGTATTTCTGATGTCAGTACTAATATGGGGTAATGTATATAAAATGTTTCGAAAAAAATGTTGAAAATGTTGATTATCTTGATGATAAAAGCATTACCAGGTACTTGCACGTTAAATGACACAAATTCCTAGATGTTAGATAGAAAGAAAAATTGTCATTTTTTTCTATTGAAAAAGGAAAACTGAGATTTTCCCTGGCCATGGTCTTTTAACATAAGTTATTATCTTTATAATAGTCTGTCAGTCCATATTTATTGAGATCTACTGTATGTAGAGTTCATTTCTTGATGTTTTGGAAAACTGTAAAAAAAAATAATAGTGAAGTCTCTGCGGAGGAAGAAATTATTTTTCTAGTGGGGAAGAGAACAAACAATTCCAAGTACATAACTCATATGTGAAAGCATATGCATGTGAATACCTCATTGTACATGTCTTAACCACACATTTACTTTTTTCAATGATTTAGCAAGGGAATGGTAAAGTATGGCTTGTGATCCAAAGCCAGCCAGTGTCCTGTTTTGGTATGACCCTTGAACTAAGAATGTTTTTTATATTTTTAAGGGTTGTTAAAAAAAATAGAAACAAAGAAAACTATGCAATCAGACAGCATGTGTCCCACAAAGCCTAAAATATTTACTATCTGGCTCTTTAGAGAGAAAAAAAATTGTCCTTAATTCAGAGTGAGCTATGCAACTATGAAGTGTTGCTAAATTAGAGAGACCAAAGTATCTGAGTTTAGTATAAGAGCAATATAATAATCTCTAACCATACTGGACAAAGCTTGAATAAAGATACCTACTTTTTGTACTGCACTAGCCTTCAAAGCCCTTCCAAGGCAAAAACGTACATTGAAGTCATACTTCTTACAACAGGAAGTTTCATGTGTTGATTCCCTCATGCAGTCGTGTAAACCTCTGTCATCTCTGTTAGTATAGACTATTCAAATCAAATAAGTAAATCTAGGTCTTCACTCTCTTCCCTATCACCAGTTTTCAGCATTTTAGCATTCTATTTATATAATGTGACTATAAGGACCTTGGGGTGCTCACTTAGTGACAACCTAAACTTCTACCCTTGATTCCATGTCTTATTGTTACATTACTACTGATTGAAGTTGGCACTGGATATGACAGAAAAGACCTTTTTCTCAACATTTTTTTGGTTTGTGCACCAGAAAGCTGCCTTTTGATTCAAAACTGCAGCTGGAATTTCCAGTGTGTGACTCAACCATTTGGTTAATGTTCTGTCCAATGCTTTTGCCAGGAAGTATCTTTTCATTTCTGCTCCAAAAGCATTCTTTATGAAAGTTTCTACTGGCACTTTTCTTGGAGCAGTCAGAACACAGATTTATTGATTAATTGATTAAGTTCATCTTATACGGGCAAGGTTCATGGCACCCTAAAACAATTACAATAGCAACATCAAAGCTTATGGATCGCAGATTATCATAACAAATATAATAGCAATGAAAGTTTCATAGATTGTGAGAATTACCAAAATGTGACACAGGGGCACAAAGTGAGCAAATGATGTTGGAAAAAAATTGTGCTAATAAGACTTGCTTGACAAAGGATTGCCACAAACCTTCAATTAGTAAAAAACTCGGTATCTGTGAGACACAATAAAATGAGATATGCCTGTATCTAAAAGCCAAGGAATGCCTGAGGCTACCAGAAGCTAGGAGAGAGACACAAAACAGTTCCTTGCTTAATTCCTTCAGAGGGAGCATGGCCTTGCTGACACCTTGATTTTGGACTTCCAGTTTTCAGAACTATGAGACATGAGTTTCTGTTGTTTGAAGCCACCCAATATGTGGTACTTTGTTATGGCAGGCCTAGTGCCATGGTCTGAGCATGCCTCCTCAATATTCACATGTTTAAACCTTAATGCCCAATGTGATGGCACCAGTAAGTTGAGTGTTTGGGAAGTGCTTAAGTAATGAGGGTAGAGCCCTCATGAATGAGATTAGTGTCCTTATAAAAGTGTCTCCAAAGAAGTCTCTAGCCCCTTCCTCCATATGAGGACACGGTGAGAAGGTGCCAGCTATGAACCTGGAAGCAACTCCTCACCACAAGGTGACCATTCTGGCACTTTGACCTTGGACTTACCAGCCTCCAGAATCATTACCAATAAATTTTTTGTTTATAAGAAATCCAGTCTGTGATATTTTGTTATAGCAGCCTGGGTCAATTAAGACATAAGAAACAAAGACAGGCTCCTTCCAGTGATGATAAACTATTGTTGGTAAAACACAACTATACAGCCTATGTTAAAAATGGCACAGTGCTTGAATCACTAGACTTCAAGACAACCGATTTGAGGTTTCTATTCCTATAGGAACTAGCTGTTTTTCCTGCTGTAGATACAACAAAGCTAGCTTTGTAATTTATCATGCATGCATGCATGTACACATACACACATGCGTATATGCACCCACATATTTATTTCTTCCTTTGGTGTTCTGGAGTTTCCAAGTTTGCAGTAAAAGTTTCAATATGAATTTTTTTCTCTAGCCTGCAGTGGAGCAGATATCACCTTAAGGAGCCCATTCAAATTGGAAAACTAGACACTTATACTAAGGAGAAACCAAGAATTGCTGACACTCTCACAGGAGGTGTCTCCGTGTTAAAAATTTATGAGGTGGAAACAGAGCTCCCAGAATTGTGTTCAGAAGACTGTCAAGGAAGGCAGAGTTAGCAGGGTGCACTCTATGGGGGGAGGGGTCAACAGTGGGTGAGCAAAGCAGAACTGAGGACCAGAGCTTCTTTTGGAGGAAGGAGCACCTTACACATAGTGGTGTGGGATTCACCAGAAGCTTTTTCATGTCAAATGTTTTTCAGGATCCAGCTTTGTAAATAAGTCTGTTGCCTCTGAGTGTAGGGTTTTCTCATTAATACGTTAAATATTACAGCAAACAAATACTTTCCTTCCTTCGATTTTATCAAGTTGGCTATTTATCACAACAACAGAACAAAGGGGGATAGGTCTTTTTAATTGATGTTGAGATTGGCAGTCATGACAATTCCCCCAACTATAATCACAGACATACTAACAATAGCAGCAATCATGGCTACGTTGGCACCTCCATGAAGGAATCCAGGTACTCCTTGCAGGTGCCTCCTTGAAACAAGCAAACTATCCTTTTCTCAACATGATTATAGAACATCACATATTCAAAGCACAGGCCATCATCATAACTTCTGGTGAAGAGCTGGGCCTATGACACTTGTTTTTATTTTATAAGCTTTGAGTCTGTAGGAAAATAGACTTCATTGTCCCCAGTTCCCTGCTTTGGTGTGCACCCCTGACCCCGCCACACAGAACCCCAAGCATGCACAGGAGGCCATAGTGCAGCTCCGGCATGACTCCAAGAGCACAGGGAACCCAGCCAGACCTAGGTAACTGCCAACTAGTTATTGGCACTTTTAAAAATTCCCTGCATCTCACTAGCATCATACCTCTGGCAGATCTCAGGTCTGCTATTCAATATAAACTTGTCCTCTGGTTTATCATTTGAGTGTGAGTGTGTGATCATACATTCTCATGAAAAATGTTCCATTCCCAGTCACTGAGCACAATTTTAGAGGATGCCAAACTTATCTACTGGAATGATTATCTAGGAAATGGCATTATTTTATTTTTTAAAATTTTGTAAATATTGCTGTACTGAACATATGGATGCTTATAACTTTTTTAATTAGTGTTTTAGGTTTCTTTGGGTAAATACTCAGAAGTGGAATCATTGGATCCTTCTTTGTCTCTTTTTATAGACTTTGTTTTAAAATCTATTTTGTCTGGTATAAATATTACTACTCCAGCTTTTTTTACAAGTTCAATTTTCATGAAGTATCTTTTTCCATGCCTTTACTTTCCATCTGTGTGTTTTTTAATCTGAAGTGAGTCTCTTATAGGTGGCATATGTAAATAACTTGTTTTTTTATCCATTCAGCCACCCTATCTTTTGACTGGAACATTTAATTCCTTTTCGTTTGAAGTATTCATTAAGAGTTATTGCCATTCTTTTTTCATATTTTTGAATAAATATTTTTCTGACATTATTGAAATATAATAGACAGTTGCTCATATTTACATTGTATAATTCAATGAGTTTTTTTTCAATTATAGTTGGCATACAATAATATATTAGTTTCAGTTGTACAGCATAGTGATTAGAGATCTATATAACTCACAAAGTGATCACCCCACTAAATCTAGTACCTCTATTTCTCCTTATTTATTTATTACAACATTATTAACTATTTTCTTATGCTATACTTTATACCCCCATGTCTATTTTATAACTATCTATTTGTACTTCTAAATTCCATTGCCCTTTTTCCCCATGCCCACAAACCCCCTCCCATCAAGTATCCCTCAAAATATTCTCTGTATCGATGAGAGTTTTTTCCGTTTCTTTTGTTGTCGTTGTTTTCTTTGTTCTTTAGATTCCACATGTACGTAAAATCATGTGGCATTTGTCTCTCTCAATTTGACTTGTTTCATTCAGCACAATACCCTGTAGGTCCATCAAGTCATTATCTTTTTCCACCTCCTTCCTTTTAGTCTGTGTGTGTCTTTTAATCTGAAGTGAGTCTCTTGTAGGTAAGGCAGCATATGTGGGAGTCTTGTTTTCTTATCCATTCAGCCACTCTCTCTTTTGGTTGGAGCACTTAATTCTTTTTCCATTTGAGGTACTTGTTGATAGGAATGCAGTTGTTATCATTCTTTATTCCTGTTTTTGATACATGTTTATTCTTCTTAAAGAAATCCCTCCAGCATTTCCTGTAATACTGGCTTAGTGGTGAGAAATTCCTTTAGCTTATTTTTGTCTGGGAAGCTCTTTATCTGTCTTTCAACTTGAAATGATAGCTTTGCTGGATAAGGTATTGTTAGTTGTAGATCCTGGGTTTTCATCACATCAAATATTTTGTGCCAAGCCCTTCTGTCATGCATAGTTTCTTTTGAGAAATCTGCTGCCAGTCTTATGGCTGGCTGTTCCCTTATATGTAAGTAACTGCTTTTCTCTTGCTGCTTTTAAGATTCTCTCTTTGTATTTAAACTTTGGCATTTTTATTATGATGTGTCTTGGTGTGGGCCTCTTTGGGTTCAACTTTCTTAGACTCTGAGATTCCTGGGGTTGTATGTCTATTTCCTTCACCAGGTGAGGCAAGTTTTCCATCACTATTTCTTCAAATAGCTCTTTAACTTCTTGTTTTCCTTTAGGTACCCTTATGACACGAATATTTTTACATTTAATAGTGCCCCACAGGCTTCTTAAATTATTGTGATATTCTTGGCTTCCTTTTTCTCGCCGTTCTGATTGAGTGTCCTTGGCTTCTCCATCCTCTACATCAATGATTCGATCCTCTTCTTCATCCATTCTGTTGATTCCCTCTACTATACTCTTCATCTCAGATAATGTGTTCTTTGTTTCTGACTGATTCCCTTTTATAATTTCCATTTCCATTGTTATGTTTTCTTATCTCTTTGTTAAAGTTGTCACTGAGTTCATCTACTCTTCCCCTAAGTTCATTGAGCTTCTTTATGACCAGTGTTTTGAACTCTGCATCTGGTAGATTGCTTGTCTCCATTTTGTTGAGTTCTTTTTCTAGAGCTTTGATCTGTTTTTTGATATGGGACATGTTATTTTGTCTCCCCATTTTGGCTGCCTCCCTGTGTTTGCTGTATTAGGTAAGGCTCCTAAGTATCCTGGTCTTAGTAGAATGGATTCATGTAGTAGATGTCTTGTGGAACTCAGTGGAAAATCCTGGGAGGGGCCCAGCTGCAGGCCAAGTTCAGCCACAGCCTGTGTACCTCTGGGGCCACCTGGTAAAAATCACCAAGGAATTCACAGATGGCTGCCACCCGTGCTGAGCTTATAGGTGCCTTAACAGGACAAGCTGGGAATCTAGGCCAGCTTCCACTAGTGTGGGGCTTTGGGCTGCTCAGCAAGAAGTACAGGGCACATGGAGGCCAGATGCTGCTTCTCTGGGTTTTGTGAGCCTTTGAGAGAGTTTAGGAAAGTCCTCAGCAAGCTCCAAGACAGGCCATTTGTATGGAACAAACCACTGGAAGCAGCTTGGGTGGGCCCACAAGTTGGGAGAGTCAGAGTCTCAGGGAATCACTTAGGTTGAGTGACCTGTGTTATCGAAGTTGATGGCAACTTAAATATGGTGGCTGCCTGTGTCCACATGCTGGGAGGAGGAGGGCTCAACAAAGGAACAATGGATAGTGCCAGCACTTCTGTCCCGGAAAAAGCCACCTCTCCAGCCCTTACTCTGAAGCCCGACAACTCAGTGTCTCCCCACATATTCCTGGTGCTCCCTGAGCAGCTGTTCCAGCATTGGAGCTCAGAGGAAATGAGTCTTCCAGTGAGTAAGGCTGGTGTAGGCTCTGTAAGAGGAATGTCTGCAGTTTCCTTAGCCCTTCATCTCAGTCATGACCTCCTCTGATTTTTACAGCCAGAGGTTGTGGGAACTTCTCTTCCCAGTGCTGCGACTCTGGGCTGGGGAGCTCAGTGTACAGCCAGGACTCCTTGCCCCTCAGGTTGGGGAGGGGGCTCGACAGCCAAGATAGCCCTACCAATTCTCCATTCACCACAGTTGTGGGACTGGGCCATTTAGCATCTCTACCCCTCCTACTGATTTGAGGTGACCTCTTATTTTTGTCCCTAGTTGTAGGGCTTCTGTTCAGCCAAACCCATCCCCCCCCACCACCACCAAGCGACTTTGCATGATTGTTGCTCTGTAGTTTACTTATAATTTTAGAGTGGTCCCGAGAGGAGGCAAGCACTGCCTCTACCTTCTACACCATTTTGATTGGTCCCATCACTTGGGAAATGCCATTTTGATGTGCACCAATGCATGACTCTTGGAGCAGTGATTAGAATTCTTATTTTTATTCAAGTCTAATTGACCAAGCAATCAAATGTATGCACAAACTACATTTTATACATCTCTTTACATTCTCTGTGCCTCACTTTCCTCATATATTAAATGGGGACAATAATAGAACCTAGCTCATAGGTGTGCTGAGAGAATTAAATGAGATAATTCACATAAATGTGTAGCTCAGTGCTCGGCACAGAATAAGCACTCGATAAATGTTAATGATATGATTGTCATCATCCTATCTCTTTCCTGTGAAAGAGCAGTTCTTAGAGGACTTGTTTAGTCATTAACAGATATTTGGTACCTACCATTTCCCAGGCATTGTCTTAAACACTGGATTATCAAAGACACTCCTTGACTCTTCACTGAAAATATAACAGGTTTGTATTGAACACAGATCTGATCAGGTGCCTGATAAATGCCCAAATCAGTGCTTTAGAGGACATGCCCAGATTAGTGAGCTGATTTAAGTCTAAGTGGTTGTTCTTCTCTCCAAGAGCAAACCCACGGGCCAGCTGCAATTGTTTATATTAACATACTAGTAATCTCTGCCCAATCAGGCTGCTTATTCAACTGTCTTCTCAGAGCACTACATTTGTTTTCCTTGGGACTCTCTATATGTGTCACTCTCTATTTATGACTAGAGAATCACCACATCAGCCTGCCATAGATACTGAGATAAGCAATCCAGACACATGAGGCAAGGTCATCTTACTCGCTGACACCAGAAATGGCCTTAGGAATCCCTCAGTGTTCCAGAGAACCACTGCTTCTGACTTATTAAGTTGATAGATTTGGGCTGAGAAGTCAATGAATAGGCAGCCATTCTAGATTTCTGTTTACATAGGCCCTTCCAGGGAACAGAACTGTACATGTGCTAGTTGCAGCAGATTCTTTTAGTAAGTCCTGTGGCTTCTGCTAGTGGTTATAGTCCTATGAGTGCCTCATATTCTCAAACAAGACATAAGGCAGGGAGATAAAGGCAACTGAGGAGATACTTGACATCTTCTCATAGATGCAATGGCCTCTTTAGGAGAACCTCCACAACTGTTTTTTTTGTGACAGTAATCATAACTATAATAGTTGATTTAAATTCCTGAGAAGGTGACACCAACTCAAAGACACTCAGAGTCCATTTTTTTCTGAATTGGGGATAAGAGACAAATAGAGGGACTCCTGGAAGTGGAGAGTCCCTGCTTCTGGGCCAAGGTTCCAGGGGATACATTAACTCCTGCAGTTCTCCCATCCTCTGGGCCCCCCATATTTATACCCCAAATCCTTATTTTGACTTAACCTACTTACAGTTGTAACTTGCAACTTAAAGGGTTCTGCCTAAAATCCTCTCTAGTCTCTCTCTCCCTTCTTAAGTCCCCACAATGACTGAATTATTAATTTTACAAAACAGGTTGTAAACTCTAAAATAAAAATTTATTTTTTTAAATAAATAAATTAATTATTAAAAAGAAAAGAAATATCCCCTCATTGGGCATTTGGCCACTTCCTTCTCTGACTAGTTACTCTGTTCTCCATATCCATGGGGGAACCTGCAGCCTGGTAGTCTCTAAGACCACCAGATAGAATTTGACTTACAAACCTTTTATTTCTTCATGGTAGGAATATTGTAGATGAATCACTCATGGTAGTCCTGAGTGTTGGACAAAGAAGTTCTGAGTCTGAGTCTGCTAGATAGACACTACGAGAGTGTGATATAGTTTTTAAAAAATAAAGATTTGCAAAAACACCTGGAAAAAGGACCTGTTCCCTTTCCAGAAGGATGACCAAACTTCTGAATATGACTTATTGGATTGGAGACTATCCCCAGGGAAACCTTAAGATGTATGTGCTGGAGATAACAGGACCACACAAGGGAAGGAGCCTGGATCACTGTAGTCAGCACTAAAGGAGAGTCATTTCCTTCCAGGAGCAATGGAAGTGAGCAGGGACAAACTGGCTCCACAAAAATCCTTGAAATTTTAAGACATTGCCAATTTCAATTGATTTATCCTAAATTCTTAGAAAATCAGGTCTCTTAGTTACTACCTTTGATGAGAATCTTTATTACTTGGCCCTGCCTGTTTGTACTAACCAAAGACAAAGTAGAGAGTGAGCATTCAAGGGAAGAAAATGATCCCTTTGACCTTGGTAAATGGTATCAGTTTTCCATTTTGCAGAAGGAAAGTTTAAATCAGGAGAATGGGCCTCACCCAAGAATGTGGGCACATAAGTCCTCTACTGCAGCATGCCTCACATTTATGTCCTGATATGCTTGTGAGCAAAGGCATTTTGGCACTGGACTGATTTGACCCAAGTTTGTTGTAAAACCAGATGGAGCCCATTGTGACCAGAATTCATTGGCTGGCCTCCTCTGGCTGCTGTCATCCCTTTCCACTTTTCCGAATGCTCTGTACAACTGATGTTATTTTCTTTGTGTAGTGAACAGAGCAAAATTAGAGATAACTGCTTTACAAAATCTAGCTGGCCTCCCCTTCCTCCAGCCCTATCAATATTCTGTCATCATTTCCAGATAGTTGTTTGGGTTAGAATCAGAACATTTTACATGATTCTGTGTTGTCAATACTGGTGACCAATGAGTCAGAGCCACAGTGCCCTTTGGAGCCATGGAAGGCCTGTTGCGTGA